AAGGTTAGCACCGTCTGACTCAAGTTATGAGTCTAAATGGTTGTCCGGATTTCATAAAACCACCCATTTTGTGCTATTTTGTGACAACCATAATTATGAAATACACAGGAAAGAAAAATACTGATGGTATTATTTCTATTTTACTTAAGACAGTAGGAAGAGACTGAACACTGTAAGTCCTGCATTCCCAACAGTGTGAGAAAACTCTCCACTGTCTAAGCATCTGACAGCACTGCTTGAGTTCCATCCAGTCACGTCACGTCTTCCTTAATTTGCTCTCGGTGCATTCTCCTTCAGTCTTCATTCTTTTGGGAGTAAGTTGGAGACTTTAGTCTATTTGATGACCCTTGCTCTATCCATACCTCAGTTGTGTGCAATTCGTCCTCCTTAAATGCTGTACCAGCCTGGGATTGCATCCTCAGCAATTTTTTATTTATCTTTGTGGAGGAGGATGAGATTCTTCTATGTTGCTTGGATAACTTTACTTCAAATTTGTCTGAACTCCTTCACTTGTCTGCTCATGATGCTCAAGTGCCAAGGAAGGCTGTCATGACTATGAAGGTTTATTTCCAGGGTCTGCTCTTACTTCAGATTCAGACTGACACAGAGCCAGACATGCAGCAGAGCTCTGAAAGCAAGTGTGAGTAGAGCAGTTATGTAAATAATTGCCATACAATGATTAAGCATCTCAGGAAGTCAAATGGGACAATGTGGGTAAGTCCAAAGAGTAAGTAGAAAACTAGATATCTATTCAAATTGACAAATTTGACAACGTCATGAGGATTTTAGTAAAAACAATGGAAAGATATAGACAAACTTACAGAGAAAGAGCTAGAAGCATGCAAAAATGTTTCACTGTACCCAGCAGGAGTGGAATCATCAGGAGCCAAAAGCAGAACTAATGAGCACAGTGAGGAATAGATTAGTTTTCAACACCCATAAAAAGGAGAAGTTTAGCACAGAAGGAAAATTTTTATCACATTACTTGAGTGGAAAATTTCTGTACCTAAAAATCCAGGAGAAAGTGAAGTAATCAACATGCAAATTGAAACAACTGATGAAAGCCCTTCGTAATATGATCTGCGTGATTGAATGGCTCTCATCAAAGTCCAACAGATTTTTTCCAAAGTCTTTTGATGTTTTCCTACCAAGTTTTATTTTCAGAGTCTGATTATAATTTTATTGCCCTGCAGGCTTCCTCTTTTGTTTGAATATTGTTGTACTCAAGAATCCGTATCTCAGGAAAAGTTGTTTTATTGTGAGAATGGCACTTGAGATATGATAAAGCAAGTGTTCAGGGGGTGGATCCTTACTGGAAATTTGCTCTGATGTAACTGAACTTCCTGGGATATCACCAAAAAACTGAGAGGAATCAGAGTAGCTGAAACCCCTTGATTTCATGAATATTTTTATAGGTTACAGGAATCATAGATTATAGGCCCTCTAGATATTAAATGAACTAATAATGTATATAATATTCTAGATACTGACTATGCTAATCCCAATAAATTACAGTTCATACCTCTGTGTTATAAGTCAGTGTGATTTTTATCTGTGTTTTACAGAATGAGCTTTCAGAACTGCAAAGCAAATGCTACATTGGACTTATACATAAAATGCCAGTTAGCTAGGCATTTTAAAGAGTGGATGGAGAATTTTTATTATTCAGAGGGTTATCAGCTAAATAGTCAAAGAGTCAAACACACTGAGACTAGAGTGTAACCTCTCCTTTGTACCACAAACCGTATGTGGAAAAGTAACGTTCTTCACAAAACAATCAACAGAAATGCTTTGCAGCTTTGTTTGGATAACAGATGTCCTTGTTTTTCCCATGACTCTATTACCCTTCACAATTCCATCTCCTCCCTGATATCATTAATGACTGGGTCCAGACTTGCCTTGCTTTTCCTGGACTATTTTCAAGAAGTAATTTTGTTTTATATTATTCCTTCCTGACCTATTTCTTCTGCATTGTATACTCTTCTGTATTTTTAATTAAACTTGCTTGGGGCTAATGATTTTTGTTTTTAAATATGAGAGTGATGAGTCTGTGGTTTTCCTAGGCTGCTGCTGATTTATTCAAAGAACAAGACAGTGGGGTTTTCAGAAAGTTTTTGTTTTTAGAAGGTTACAAAACTGAGTCGTGACAGACACCTGAAAACCATTCTGTGATATCTGACTTTAAAAAAAAAATAATTCTGAAAGTCCCTGCCACAAACTGTGTTTTAAGAATCTATTTTATTTTTTTTTTAAGCCATCTTAACAACTTTACCTAAAGAAGTAAGTTTAAATACCAGCAAAATGCTTACTGTATTTATCTGGGAGCATATGAGGTTTATACTTCTTTCTGGATACTGTTAGCGTACTGCAGAATGATGGCCTTGCGGGGGGACACCAATGCAGGCAATATTCAATATTCTTGACTACTACACTGATTCTCTCCTTCATGATTTATAAGTGAAACATGTGATTAGAAGTTCTGTGGGATTGGAAGAGGCATCAAGGTGATCATGCTAGCTGTGATACTTTTTCAAAACAGTGAAACTGTCCCTTCTCACAGTTGCCTCCCAGTATTTCTTGGTTTCAGCTTTGCCATGTGGTGCTCAGAAGCTGGTGTATTATGGTGAGTAGTTTTCCCTAACTTTTCCTGTGTTTCCACTGAGTAAATGTCTCTGTGGTGCAGGCCTCAGGGTAGTATTTTCATTTGATGGGACAGAAGAGCAACAGTCGGAGAACAAATGCCTTTCTGTAGGAGCAGCATGTAAACAAAGTTTATGCAGCTGCTCCCAGCTATAAGTGGCATTTCAGGAAAAGAACATAGAGGTTTAAATATCATGCTTGCATAGCAGTTATAAAACCCAAACTAGCTCAGCGAAGCATGCTGTTTGCAGAGGAGAAGAAAATTTCACTTCACTATGTTAGCATAGAGCAGAACACACCCATAGGCTGCCATATCCAGCTTAGCCTGGATACCATGTCATTTTTGTCTGCTTTCTCTTTTGAGGTTGCATACATACTCAATACATCGTAGTGAGGATCTTGAACACAAGCACTCTATGGTAACTGCAAAGAAGCAGCATGTCCAAACAGCTCCATCTCCAGCTGATGCATTCCTACCACAGCTATTTCTTCAGCTTCGGGGATGAGCTTCCTTCTGCTCCTCTGGAGCCCTGTGTACTGTGGAATTGTTGCTGCAGTGTGAGAAGGAACACAAAGTTGAAACAAACCGGCTGCTGGCCTGGTCTGCAGCTTGGTAACCAACCATACAAACTATTGAATTCCTTCTTTCTCTCATCCCATGAATAACTTCCTTTAGGTCCACTGTCAGACTACTGAATATGATACAATATTTTGTGCTGTGATGCTGGAAACTGGGTAAATGCTGCAGTTTGTATTGGCATGTCAAATGTGCCAACACAGAACAAATCTTTTGCAAGCCAATGACCATGTTACAGAGCAGCTTCTATTTCAGATGACACCCGATGACATTTGTCTATGCTTGCTGAACGTTCAAGGAGAACAAACAGTGGATGTGAACACAGTGAGGAGGTGGATGGTGTGTTTCAGCAGTGGTGACAGTGACACAAAAGACAAGCCACATTCCAGATGGCCATGCACAGCTGTCGTACCATGAAATGAAGAATGTCTCAATCAGCTCATCTGTGTGAATCTGCAAATGGTGATGACTGTATTGAGAAATAGTGTTTTATAACTGAGAATTCGCTCTAAAAAATAGTGTTACTGTGGTATTTGTATGTGCTGTAGTTTCCACGGAAATAAATGAAAGACATTATTTTTGTAGCAATTTTGTGTGTACAATTAAAAAAAAAAACAAAAACATATTTATACCACAAAATAGAAGCAATAAGAACTAAATTACATTTCATTTTTAAAATTTTGTGTTATTTCCATATTTGCAAAGCAGTAAAATGTGGGTTCTTTTCACCTTATTATTAAACAGAAACAGTCATAAGTAGTAAATAAGTAAATAATAAGCATATTTACAAGAATGTGAGCTTTTTCCCCATTGCCACACTGTTCCATGCATGTCATGCACAAACAGAATACATGCTGAAATAATATGCAGTGCAGACCACTAACAACTTAGATAATAACTTAGTTTCCCAAGGTTTTTCATCAGCACTCACTCGCACTGATTGAGAGACAATTAAGAAAAGTAAAAACAAACAAGTGTCAGGTATGGATATGTTGTCATTTCTTGAAATTTGGATAGGAGAAAGATTTTTCATTGAGTCAGAAGTGCTTATCTAAAGTGAAATGTGCTAAGATGTGTCATCTTTTAATGATATAAGGTTGGAACAGTGAAGTGAGTATCAAAGATGAGGATGAATCAGAGAAATATGTAGAATCCCTGATTCATTTTACTGAAGAAGTCTTGGCAGCCTTGGCAAACATGATATATTCAGCCAGAGTAACATCCATTTCTGACAATAAATGAAAGAAAAAATTATTCAAAAATTACTGCTTCATTGGTTTTGATATTAAAAAATCTGAATCTAAAAATACAGCAACTTTGGGTAAACACTGTTAGAAGTGCAACCATAGAAGAACTTCTGTGTAAACACTGTAATTTTTGGCATCTGCACAAAACTCTGTGGACCTCACAGAGGTGACATAGACAGTAAATATTTTATTTCCTTTGCCATGGAAAAGTCAGAGTTTGCTTAGAGCTTTGTCCAGTCACCAGATCATTGTGAGTGGTGCTGCTGCACAGTTGGCCACTTCCCAGCCTGCATAGGTGAACAAAAGCCTTCCCCAGGGGCAAACCTCTCCTAACTTTTTGAGTATTTTTTTCCTATCTAAAACCTCCTGTTGATGTCTCTGCACTGATGCTATGCTGTATTAAGTCAAATGACTACATGGGAAAAGTTAATATCCTTAAATATATTGTCACCTCGATCAGGTGCGACATCAACTGAAAAATAAAGAAACAACACCACAGATTTGTGACTACATTTACTTATTATCATGGTAAAGATATTATGCCTGTATCAATACCATTCCTCTAAGAAAGAGGACTTACTTGACATCAGTGAATTTAGTTAAACAGAGTATATTTACAGAGAGGATAAATTTTCCAATGGAAGTTTTATTTGAATTTCTCTTTGGATAAAAAATCACAGATATAAAATTGAAAATTTCTATTTTTTTAAACGTATCAGATTATCTTGCTCAATATTTCACAAATGCTGTACCAGTGAGAAACAAAAAAAATCTCTGTTCATTTTCAGTAAGACTATTGTGACATTCAAATCTTCCCCATGGTCCTGGTCAGCCAAAGAGGTGTGTTCTGTAAAGTATAAACAACATATGGATTTCTCCACTGTGATGTGTTTATTTTGGCAAAAATACAGGGTGGTATGGTCCTGGCATATGTAATTGCCTTACAGCTACAAACTGTATTTTGCTGGGGATGATCTAGACTGCATATTCATTGTCTGTGAGTATGAAAATTAGGTTGTACTGTAATGATGAATGTTTAAACAGAGATGCAGTTGAAAGCTGTCTGTGTAGCTGCAAGGTTAAAACATTCTGTGCTCTACCCACTTTGTATCTGGCACACCTCGGGTGGGTAAGTGTACTTTTGGCATATCTCTGTAAGCTCTGGGTTACAAAGAAGGGCTGGGAACAAGTCCAGTTTTCAGTTCTAAATAGATATGCTCAAATATTACTCAACCTTCTCTTCAGTGACAAAGCCGTGAATATTTGTTGTGGTAGTCAGGAATAACCATCTTGGTGGACGTTTGTCATTCCACTGGCCACGCCGTGGTGAGTCCCCTTCTCCACAGCCCTGTACATGCAGCTGTGATTCCCCTCCATATGCACGCATCAGTTGTCCACTCTCAGGCAGTTCCTTTTACGCAAGAGCCTGACTGAGCACTGCCGATACGTGTTCTCAGTATGGGGATCAGAATATTTATGCAATGAGGAAACAGAAGAGAAAGTGAATCACATTTGTACAGCGAATGATTTAGTTGGTCCGCAGAGAGGGTCTGTGACATCCGTTATTCAGAGGATTTCATTAGGAATGTGGAATGTCTGGGAAATAATAATTCATGTATATAATAAAGGTGTTCAGAGCATAAGGAGAAAAGATGAGAAATGCTCAGCTCTGCAGTCAAAGATAACAGGACAAAAAAAGTAAATTCTTTCCATTACATTAATGCAGTGATACTGTTGTTAAAATCTGATTGTGGCTGAAAACTCATTATCATACTTCTGAAGAAAGATGGAGAAGAATGGTTATATAGAGCTCTTTTGTCCACTGCCGTGGTATTGTCTTGGAAGAATTTAGATTGTCCACAAACATATTTCTCACCTTGTCCTGTCTTGGTAAGATATTCTATCTTATATTTCTGAAATACAAATCAGGGATCTTTCTGTAGTCTTACACATAGAAAAGATACATAGGAATGACCCAAACTCCACATGTACTTGTAAAGAAAAAACTGTTTCAAGAGCCATACTGGGATATTCCACAGTGTAATTTTTTTTCCTTCATGTGAAGTAGCTTAACAATCAGTTTTGTATCTCCACAGTTGTATTAACCAGTTCCTCAAGGAATTCCTTCTGTCAGGCAGATCTCCTGGCACATGGTAGAAAATAATCAGCAAAGAACACTGTTCAGAATCCCGTCTGAATTCCTGGACTGGTTCTGAAACACAGAAAAGGATAGTTCTTTCTGAAAGAAGCTGTAGAAGAATGTAAATTGCTTCCTACAGTGTTCACTGTGGATATTAAATATAAGGCGAGGAAGACAGAGTGGAGGAGAATTTGGCATGAAGCAAAGGAATATTGAAGGACAGCAGAATGCGCAGTCAGGAGAGAGAAGTGTTATTATCACATGTTGTGGAAAATGCTGCAGAAACAAATCTGCATACAAATTCAGAATAGAATATTGTGAATATCCAGTAAGAACTAATATATTTAGCACTGCAAGGAGATAAAAGGGCAAATGAAAACTGAACCACAGCTATCTCATTTGGAGCACAGGAAAATAAACTTGCATCCACCTACATTTGTCTGGTTATGCATATCCTCTTCTGCAAACAACTAAAATTCCGATTTTACATAATTGCTTTTGAGCGTTGTTCTGGAATAACACCTTAAAAACAGAAGAGCAGTGTGGTAGGCATTGCTGTGTCTTCCAAGCAGTAGATTCCATTTTTCATGGAGTTTTATCTGTTCTTCCAGTGCTGTCGCTATTAATAATTTATTTTATGAACTAGACATGCTATTCTGGTTAGAGTTTGTTTTGTCTTCTCTGGAACCTGTAGCCTGTGCTTTGCCAATCCTATGCATAAAAAAAGAAGATACCTATCCCACTGGCACACTGTACATTTTTCAAAGTATTGCTAACTACTTTTCTTTCATTTGATTAGCCTTATGCTAATAAGCCTGATACAACTAAAAAAAGATGTAGAAAATAATGTCTCTCAATTGTTCAAAACATATGCAACACTTTATACAGAGAGGAAATTTGCTGTGGTTTTTTTTTGTGTGTATGTTTTTTTTTAAAAAAATTTGTTTTTTAATGATGGAGAAGATGTGATAGCAGACGAAGCCCAAACTGAGGACTAGGAAATGGTTAGATGAAATGATATGGTGCCACTGCTATGCTGAACTGCTCAGCTGATAGAGATGAGTTGTTCAGATTCAAGGACATTTTGATATGGATTTTGTATTGCTCCTGGGCTACCATTTTTTTGCCTTATCTTTGGGTGATAGTCTGCACCAGCTCAGGCAGTCACAGCTTCAGAGCTTGCTCACAGCATCACTGCGTGCCAACATTCTGACCTAACCTGCCTGGAACCATCTATAGTTTTTACTATCATAGTCTCCATCCTTATGATTCTGTAAATAGGAGTATAAATTTGCATATTAAAAGCAGACTCGTATTCCTTGAGATGCCAGATTGCACCTTTCCAGAAGAAAAAGTCCCATTAGAGACAGTCAGGAAAGAGAAACTCCATTTCTCCTTACCTTTCCATGGAGTGTTTCAAAGCACTCTTCAATCTCCGCAATTTGCAAGTCTGTACTTTTTCTGTATTCTATTCACTTCTTGACCACTTTCTCAGTAACTTTGTACAAAGTGAATAATCAGACTTTGATTTTTTGGTAAGGGGTCATGTGATTTCCATCTGAAGCACTCAGTAGAATCAAATTGTACCAAATCTTAGAAGAAGTACAGCAGGCAATATATGACTACATCTCACACTAACCACAGTTCTTGCTGGATATTTTAATCATGATGATGCTTTTTTTGGAGCAAGATTTTTTTGAATCTTCCACAGTCCTTATTGGCTCTAAAAGTAAAAACAGAAAAGATATACCACATCAGCATTTATACTAATTTACCTTGTAATGTGAAGAAAGGTTAAAGATTCATGAGAAGCGTGGGAGCCATATTTCTTTGCACAATGTCATAACAGAGCTTTCAAGGCTTTTTTTCCTCTGGGAATGTCTTTTACGATCTAATTGCATGTTATGATCTGCCCAGGTAAGAAATTCAACACGTACATCAGTAAGACTGGCCTTGGCCACATGTTCTGCCATAAAATCTTGTTATGGAGAGATATGCTGGAAATGCTGGGAGCTGCCTGATTGCCTTGTAAATGATTTTTGGCAGGAGCTCAGATGTAAGCATAGATTAGGTTTGTGACCATTTGAGGAACCTGAACGTCCACAAGTCTGTGGGTCCCAGTGAAATATATTCCAGAGTCCTGATGGAATTAGATGATGTAGTTGCCAAGCCACTATCAACAGTATTTGAAGAGTCATGGCAATCAGGTGAAGTCCCTGGTGACTGGAAAAAAGGAACATCTCTACTATGAGGACAAACTGAAAGAGCTGGGGCTTTTTATGCTAGAGAAGGGAATTATTCGAGGAAACCTGATAGGAGCTACAGGAAAGAAGGGTTCAGACTCCATAGCAAGGCTGTGGAGATAGAATGAGGGGAAATGGTTTCAAGCTCAAAGAGGGTAAATTTAGGTTGGATATAAGGAAAAAGTCTTTTATAGTGAGAATGGTGAGGCACTGGAACAGGTTGCCAGAGATATGGTCGCTGTCCTGTCCCTGGAGACTTTCAAGACCAGGTGGATCAGAACCTAGGCAATCTGATCCAGCTGTGGATGTCCCTGTTCTTTGCAGGGGAGCTGGACTGGATGCCTTTGAAGATGCCTTCTAACTTGAAGGATTCTATGATTCTGTTTTGCTGCTGGTACTTTTTTTTTTTTTTTTTAAGTAAAAAAAATGGGCAATGGTATAGGAATTTTTATTCAAAGTTGACATGCATAATTACTAAATATGGTACAAAGAGGTACTTTGGTGGATGTACAGTTCCCTTTTTGAGAACTTATGTTGAGAACCCATCCAAGTCCTGTTCGTTCTGTAGATCAGCTCCTTCAAAAACATAAAAGCAGTTAGCATGCACATGGATGTCAGAAAGGAAAGGGGACAGAGATTGTCTGCATCTACTTCATTACATTTATCAGATCTTATTTTGAATCTATTCCTAGCTTTGTTGAGCAGTCTGGCTTTGCCAGACATTCCCATTTTATCAGTCCTAAATTGAAAAAAAACTACTTAGTTGCCAATCCCATGACATCACAGCAATCTAGTTTAAGAAAAAACCTTCATTCCCACAGCGAGAAATGTCTTGAATACAGTTCCTGAAAAGAAAGCAAAATTCAGTTAATCCTATAGATGTGAACTTAATTTCAGTTTGTTTCTTTGGGAAAGGGATACTGCAGAATTCTGGTGCTCAGGGACTGAGCAGCTCTTGGTGTCTGAGTGACTGAGGACTGGGAGAGCTGAAGTTTAGCTGTCCAGCTGAGTTCTCATGGTATTCCAAGTCAGCAAGGCCCGAATTTCCATGTTTACAAATAAATGTGATGCATTTGGAAATTCCCAGCACTACATTCTTATTCAGACAGAGATTAGACTCTGGCATAGTCTAACTCATAGTAAAAGGCATAGTTTCCATTTTATTTGTGGCTGAACAATGATGAAGATTCAAGTTTGGTGAGACTTCTGTCATACTGAGTTGGGGTACATGGAATTAGGATGTTTGATGCCTTTAGGAGCACAACTATTTGCAAGGATTATGTATAGATAAATATGCTTTTGATATATTATCTGATTTCTTTTTGTTGTAGATTGAAGAAGTATTGAAACTGTTCTCTTGACACCAATATGCAACTGTCCCAACAATAGTAAGATAATTAGTACTATGTCAGGGAATAGCTGCATTGATAAATTGAATTAAGAATATAGTTCACAAAATGGAGAACTAAAACAAATAAATAAAAAAGCTCAAAAACATTTAACGTATTTTCTGATGAAAGGAAACTGGTACAAAAATAAGTAAAATCTAGCTTGAACATCTGCACAAGGTTGTCTAATCTATCAGAAAAGTTTTCTGTCACAAAGATCATTATGAGCTTAATAGGAATAGGAATAGTGTCCTAAACCTAACACACTTCACATGCAGTACTTAATTAAATATAAGCAAGTCAAATTGCATCTTCTGTTGTGGAGACGCGTTAGATATAATATAGTCAATCTGTTGCATGATAGCTCCATAAGAAAGAAATTGTTATATAGAGGTAAGACTAGAATATAGATCTGGTGCTTAAGTATACTCTTAATTTGACCCAAAAAATACACATCAAATATAGCTGAATCAAATAAGTATATTTAAAAGTTACAGTATGACAACTTTCTGCAATCGATGTAGTAGTTTTAATCACTGCAAACACTAAAAATAGCATTCAGACTGAAGAAACTACAGGTGTAATCATGAGACTAAATAGCAAATAATTTGTTCCATTGGTGGCTCTAGCAAGTGGTGAAGTTGAAATTTATCTTTTTAACTTTCTAGAAAGTAGAAGTAATTTTATACTGATATAAGAAAACTGCAAAATATATTGTGGATAAATGTCCTTTACACATGGTGAGTTCTGTCAATTTTATGAGAGTTGAGAAAAGGAATAAAATAAATAGAAATAAATAAAAATTGAGAAAAGAGGCAATAGTAAAAAAGGCAGTGTAGATATCAATTCCTACCAAGGTTTGATATTTAAAAGATGCCTTCTACCTTGTTCCCCAAAGAAGTTCCCATTTACCAAAGGTAGGGGATCAACAATAACTATGTGCAGATTCCATTGGGAACATAAAAGAATAGGTATGGATTACAAACCAAAAGAATTGGAGCACCTGGTGTTGAACATTTCAAGACCTTTGGGACAAAACATAAATAAGGCCAGAAAAAAAGACGTCTAGAGTAAATACTTGAGCACTACTTTTCCTAGTGGCAGGTAAGTAATCACAGAATATATTTAATTGGCTTGGCTGAAAGACAATAGCTTTTCTCTGCCAAGAAAATTACTGTCACATTTGGGTATTGGTACAATTTTGGAAAACAATTCTGTCCTGATGACTTTGCTCAGTGTGATACTCTCCTATCATACTTTTGAGAGGACTTAAACTTCTTTGTTTGCTCATTCTACTATTTTTAATGAAGTGAGTTCTATGAGACTGAATGAAATCTATGAAAGGCTTGATTCTTAGTCTCTTAAAATATCCCACTTGCTGTAAATTTTAGTAATGATTATCTATACAAATTGCTCAAAAAGAATGTTTATGCAATTGCTTAGGGCAGGAAATCCAGAAAACACACATGGAAGGCATAAACCCAGCAGGGGTATTCAGAGGAAGTCAACAGATCATCAACAGATAATGAAGCACAGATGATGTATGTCACTTGCTCCAAAAGTAATGCTATTTATTTTCATGGAAACTCTGACAGATACAAAGAATAAATAATACTATTCAATACAGAAAATTCTCAGCTACAAAACACTATTTGTCAAGACAGTTACCATTAGCTATGCATTTTTGTCAGCAATGAACAAGAGCCTGCGTGCCACACTCATAAATATCTGCACCTGCAGAAGTGACCCACTGCTATTGTATGAACTGCTGAAATGCACCACTCACCACCTCACTGTTCTCACATCCACTCTTTGGTATCCATAAATGTTCAGAAAGTGTCAGCAAATGTCAGTGGGTACCATTTTTTCCATGTGGAGGAATTCAGTGACACACCAATTCTTCTTACACACTTCCATGCCAGATGCCATTTTGTCAGACTGCACCTTTGCTGCCATCTGTCACACAGCAGCATGTGGTGGGGTACTGGTGGGAAGATTCAACATCTACTGCTGTACCACCAACATCAGCCTCTGACGTCATGGGCCAACATAAAAACAAATGGAAAGCATTACTTCCAGAGCAGCTGTCATATATTTGCATATTAAACTATGTTCTGATGTAAATGGATTCAGGTATTACTTACTCTGATTGGAGATGCACTAATAAAGATGTAGGATCTGCCTATCAGTTTTTCAAAAAAATGTAACCAATCAGTATCTCAGTTTTTCAGATAGATTTGCTGTCCTCCCATATGTATACAGTCTGCTATTCTATGAGTTACAAGCTCAGGTGATTAAAGATATAGCAGAAAGTAGTAGGAAGGTCATAATGAAACATTGCCACTAGTTGTTTTTAGGATAGCAGATGCTCCAGAAAGAAAAAAAACTAATCACGAATGACCTCATCACTTGTAGTAAATTGTTTTAAAGGTTACGTACCATTCAATTAACCATTTACTTCAGAGTTGAAGGTATCCTAAGGTAAAAACTGGGTTGCTATGCATCTTTATTGCATTCCAGGGCGAGGCAGAACAAGAAAACTTGCCGTTCTTGGATTCACTGCATCACTCCCTGGGACTTAAATCCTACTGGGGAGTCGTTTTAAAGGAAGAAAAAAATGTTTCAGTCTTGTCTGTACCATCTACTGCAAATAATCCTCTGTGGGATTTACTGGTGAATGCTATTTAGCATGGGCCAAAATTCTACCAGCAGCTATCGCAACCTGCAGGATGAATCATCATGAATTATCACCTCTTATTCCCTGATCCTCTCTTGTTTAGTAATATACATGTAGCTTGCTATTTGGGGCAACCTGCTGTAAGCCCTCCTTACCACAAAAAAACAAAAGACCAGAGAAATAAGAATGCCACTGTCATCTTTTCTCATCTGTTTTCTACTTTGCTCTGCGATATCTCAAGGTGACAGAGACCCACTGCAATCTCGAAGTTTGGATGTCAGTGTTCTTATGAAGAATGAAATAGCAAAATTGTCTCCCTTCAAGTCTAGGAGTTTTCAGATGCTCCGGTAAAAGAGAGCCTTTAAACTTTCTCTTGCTCTGGAACAGAGATTATGTAGCAAAAATAAATAAAGTTAAGTAAGCAAGCAGTTGAACCTCCTGATTCTGAAAATGTTATCAGAGAGTAAAGTGTTAACAAGAAAAAAAGACCCCTGAGGCTGTTTGCACACATCTATGATACAAAACTTCCTATACTTCTTTGACACGGACCTGTGGAAAAATTCTCATCTTTATCCCTAGGTTTTGTTCCTTCAGTAAAGGTTGCTACAGTCTTAAATCCCATAGCGAGGTCAATTAGACAAAGCAACAACGGCCATTGATTCCTCAGCACTAACATATGGTTCTCTCTTTTTCTTAAATGTTAGGTAGCTCTCAAGTGATTATAGAAGGCAGCAGAAGGGAGTGGACTTTAAAGGTCACATTCAAAGTCCGTGTAATGTAATTAAATGAACTACTCTGAAACGTGTTTTAAAATCTCATTAACCACATATATATCTGTCACAGGAAAGTTTACCCAGATAACAACTGGAAACACGTTGTAGTAAGGTCAAAGTCTTCTTATGAGTGCATGCAAAAGGACTTTTTTCTTTTTTTTTTTCCTATGACGCTATGGGGAATGAAGTGATCTCAGAGTTATTCTAGTTTGTCTGTATGAACAGAATATTACACCTTTTAAATTTAGTAAAAACTCTATAGAAAGGGAAAACTGCATTGTATCCCCATTTCACCTCACAGCAGTCATGGTATCTATGAGGCTGGTTGCAGATGCTCCAACCTACTACATAGCTTCGTGGCTGAAGTTGGAGAGTTAGGCACTCAGTGTGGCCTGGAACACGAGGAAATATTTTTCTATATTTTAAATTATTTTTTAATAATCTTGGCTCATGTACCATGCAGCTTCCTTAGCTAATTTTTTCATGGATCATTAGAAGACAACACATGTCACTCTATGGTTCCTGCAGTGTATCTGGTTTAGTCTGATTTACTGTATTTTCTGTATGTTAATGGACTGTTTTAACTTGCGTCTTGGTTAAGCTGCAAACACTTTGCAGGAAATTTCATATTCTCTGATTTCTCCAGATTGTGCCAAATGAACTGCTAGCATTTTGCTTTCTTTATGTTAGTTCTCCTTAGTCCTGGATTCCTCTTTTCATACGGCATGCTGAGAAACTGAGGCAGAGGGTGAACTGCACTTTGCTAGGACAATGTCAGAAGAAGTAATCACAAAATACTCTTTTAGGAGTCAACTTAGTGTGTCTCATACTCATCATTCCCTGTTAAACATTAATTTTCTTAGTGTTCCAGCTACTTACATAATCATGCTTTTTTTTTTTTTTTTTTTTTTTTTTTTTATGTGAAGAACTCAGCCCTTACTTTTATTGGTGGAAGTTGTTAGACTTTATTATAAAGCAAAATTTTAAATCACATTTACATGGAACAAACAGATGATAACTAGAAGTTTCCAAAGTGCTCTATTTTTGATATGCAGTTATGACTGTATAATTCAAGATATTAAATATGATTTTTTAAGTGCTCTGTACAGACCAACATTGATGGCTACCAGAAAGTAATCCTTGAATCAGCTAAGGATATATTGTATGTAAATAAAATTATCAAATATTCAATCAAATGCAATTTTTGGTTATTTTGACATGTTGAAGTGCTTGCTACCTCTTAAAGCTTCTCCCCAGTTTACAGAGACTAACATAGGAATTTTGTCTGATTTTCATTCCCTGAATTTAGCAGGCATGCAGACCTACAAGCAGAACTAAGAGATAGAGGTGCTCTGGTTTGTTCCTTGTGCTGAATAAAGTTTGTTTTCTGCTTTCTTTGCTTTATGTTGCTGCATCACACCTTCCTGCAAAGGATATTTGCTGCTGGTGCATGTTTTTCATACCCACTAAAATTCTCACCAGCCCCCATGTATGAGAAATGAGAAAGTAGAAACACCTAATGAGACATAACGTGTAAGTTAAACAGTGGTGATTTTTATTTTAATGTCACTGTGAAATTGACATTTGGATTAGATTTTTATTACAAAATTGCTTTGTAATGTGAGGCTTCTTTGCCCAAATGGCAACTGCTATAATTAGATAATTTATGATCTTTTTAAACAGGGAAATTCCATCATTACCTCCTCCTCACTTCCTTAAACTACAAACAAACTCTGCATGACAAAGTCTTCTTCTGTGCTGGACAAACTGAGCAACGGCAGTACATAAGAAATGAAAGTATCTTCTGCCTTTTTTTTTTGACCTTTTTTTTTTTTTTTTTTTGACTATTTTTGCTTGATTTTAACTTACAAGCTACTGTGTAAAAGGCTGTGTTCCCATTTATAAGCACATCTCCTCCTCACATCATGAGCAGAAAACAAAGAGAGCTGTACCCTCTGAGCTTCCCTGAAAAATGAGTGATGATAACCCCTGAAAGCCCTTCTGCAGATCCTTCTGCAGGTGTGACGTCAGGAAGGTTATCCTCCCCTCTGCTTTGCCTTGGTGAGGCCACATCTGGGCTGCTGGGTTCACTTATGAACTTGTCAGTTGAAGAAAGACAGGGAACTACTATAGAGAGTCCATCAGAGGTCTATAGAGATAATTAGAGACCTGCAGCATCTCTTATACAAGAAGAGGCTGAGAGACCTAGAAGTTTGAGAGGGGATGTCATTACTGTTTATAAATATCTGAAGTGTGGGAGTCAAACGAGTGGGGCCAGGCTCTTTTCAAAGGTGTACAGCAGTAGGACAGGCACGAACAGCAAAAATGGGAACACAGGAAGTTCCATAGTAACATGGGATATGGGGGGGAACTTTACTGTGAGAGTGACAGAAGCTGGAACAAGCTGCTGTGAGGTTGTGAATTCTCCTTCTCTGAATATTTAAGACCCTTCTGGATGCCTTTCTGTGTAACCTACTGTATAGTACTGTAGGGAACCTGCTCTAGCAGGGATTTGAACTCCATGATTTCCAGACGTATCTTCCGAGCCCTACAATTCTGTAGTTTTGTAACTTCTCATAAAGGATATTTCTCCTTCTCTGAACAGCTGGGCAGCAGGGAAAGAAGACAGATGTTTAAAAAAAAAAAAAAAAAAGAGGGAGATTGGTTGCTCTGTCCCTGGGGAAACATGGGGAGTGGTGGCCCTGGTCGTGCTTGCCTGCACAATGCCCTGGGAGCGGGTGCCACAGGCTGATGAGATCAGTTGTGCCTGCATGTGCGTATGGCAAGGTCAGCAGAGCCAATTAATCACTGCTGCAGGAGGAGTGATATACTACTTCCAGTCTGTTATGATAAACAAATTCTTAATCATCTTTTTCCCAGTCTGTTCTGAAACACAAGTCAGGGAGAAGCTTGGCCTTAATCCCATCAATATGAAAGCCTTTTTCCCTAGGTTGGATAAAAGCTCTTGTGGGCGTTGCACAGGAAATGTATATGCTGTGTGAGCTATTTCATGGGGTGGATACCCACAACCCCAGTCCACTCATTCTCCCCTGACATTCAAGCACATTCAGAAGACGTCTGTTCTGTTTTGGACCTCCCTCTACAAACAAGTACCTATCAGCCACATATCTGAAATAAATTAGGAAAAAATTTTGAAAGTTTATTTTTCTATGGGAATGTTAATTTGCTCATCTGCTTATCTTTACATTCACTTATAAATGTTCAAATAATAACTAAGATTAATTTCTCTTTATCATTCCGGTATTTTTACAGTAAACTCAGATTCACTATACCATCTCCTCTGCTTGCCTCCATGTCTCATGTCATCTCAGTGTATTAATTATTAAGGTGTATATTTTGGTTTT